GTGCTGGGATTACAGGCTTGAGCCACCGCGCCAGGCCCTATTTTTTTTTTTTTTTAAGGCAAAGTCTTGCTCTTGTCGCCCAGGCTTGAGTGCAGTGGTGCGATTTTGGCTTACTGCAACCTCCACCTCCTGGGTTTAAGTGATTCTACTGCCTCAGCCTCCCAAGTAGCTGGTACTACAGGTGTCCACCACCATGCCAGCTAGTTTTTGTATTTTCAGTAGAGACAGGGTTTCACCATGTTGGTCAGGCTGGTCTTGAATTCCTGACCTCAGGTGATCTGCCTGCCTTGGCCTCCCAAAGTGCTGGGATTAAAGATGTGAGTCCCTGCACCTGGGCTATATTCTTTTTTTTTTAAATTAATTTTCTTTAGAAATGGGGGTCCTGGGCTGAGTACAGTGGCTTACACCTGTAATCCCAGCACTTTGGGAGGCCGAGGCAGGTGGATTATTTGAGGTCAGGAGTTCAAGACCAGCCTGGCTAACGTGGGAAATCCTGTCTGTACTAAAAACACAAAAATTAGTGAGGCGGTAGTGTTGTGTGCCTGTAATCCCAGATACTCAAGAGGCTCAGGCAGAAGAATCCCTTGAGCCTGGGAGGCAGAGGTTGCAGTGAGCTGAGATCAGGCCCCTGTACTCCAGTCTGGGTGAGAGAGTGAGACCCTGTGTTAAAAAAACAAAAAAAGGAAATGAGGGTCTTGCTGTCAACCAGGCTGGAGTACAGTGGCATGATCATAGCTTACTTTACCCTCAAACTTCTGGGCTCAAGTGATCCTCCCACCTGAGCCTTCCGAATAGCTGTGACTATAGGCATGCACCACCATGCCCAGCTACTGAGTATTTTTTTAAAAACAACTTTTTTTAAACAGGGTCTTGCTCTGTCGCCCAAGCTGGAGTGCAGTGCTGCTATCATGGGTCACTGCAGCTTGAACTCTGGGGCTTACACAGTTCTCCTGCCTTGGCTTCCATGCAGTTGGGACCACAGGTGTGCATCACCATGCCTGCTTAATTAAAAACAATTTTTTTTTTGTAGAGATGGGGTCTTCCTGTGATACCCAGGCTAGTCTCAAACTCCTAAGCTCAAGCAATCCTCCTGCCTCGGCCTCCCAAAGTGTTGGGATTACAGGTGTAAGCCACTGTGCCCACCTGTATATGTTCTTAAAGTTCTGAATTCTCTTCTTTTTTTTCTTTAATTTTTAATTAATTAATTAATTAATTAATTATTTTGAGACGGAGTTTCGCTCTTGTTACCCAGGCTGGAGTGCAATGGCGCGATCTCGGCTCACCGCTGCCTCAGCCTCCTGAGTAGCTGGGATTACAGGCACACGCCACCATGCCCAGCTAATTTTTGTATTTTTAGTAGAGACGGGGTTTCACCATGTTGACCAGGATGGTCTCGAT